GCACTTTAATTCAAAGTTATAACAAATTCAAATTCGCAGTCCCCACAGGAATTAAGAGTTTAGCGTAACAAGAACGGGTTCTGAAACTATTTAAAACTGCCCTGAGTTCAAATTAACGTGCTATCGCAAAAAAAAAAAACAGCTTTATAATGAAACATGTAACAATGAAAAGTCATAGTGTATAGCGGGTGGGTATGGAGGTACCATTTATAAAAAACATAAACGAGAACAATATATTATAAATAATATATACCTTGAGCTACTACATACGTCCGATTAGAAATTATGAACGCAATAGTTTAACTTTATTCTTTTATAAATGACGACCCATGATAGATGTATGACAATGTATGTACATAAATAGGGTTTCCCTTAATTCTGATACTAGTTCACTACAAACATTATTATGTGAGTTGTAAATTCTCAGCTAGCTGCTTTGGGCACGCTATAGTACATTTTAAAATACGCTAATGTCGTATTTGAAAATCCTGTATTAAATTCAGCCGGGTTATGTCGAAGCGGTTCCCTAAATCCCCTCTTAAGAGGGCACGTAAGATATCCATCACCGCCTTTTACAAAGAATTGAATTCTCCGAATATATATTATTGTCATTGCGTCCTTTGAACACATCTGCAATATTATAAATTATATAGTATTAACGCTCTTTGAAGAATTTTTACTAATAAAATATGGTAAATCCTCCCGACACAACTGCTCGTATCTCGGCATGAATTAGGCGCGGTAGCTTCGTCCCCATCATCAAAATCTTTGGCCAGTCCACACCGTGGCCAGGCCATGTACTCAGACGTTACCCTTGAAAGAGGGATGACATTTGGTCCCCACGCTTAGTCAGTACGTGACCAAGCCGTGTTCCTACTCGACCAACTCTACCCCATGATCTGCAAGCGAAGCAAATAGTCCCTTCGTAATAAGGTGACACTGTACCAAAATTTGCACAAATTTCGTGATGCAAGTGTAGTGCCCGCTCACGCAACTCGCATGCACATAAACTCTGTCCAGGTCATCCATTCCCGTTTTTTCAGGATAGCCGTCGGAACACCATAATATGTGAGGAATTTCAACCTTCACGACGATATAAATTTAGAATCGATATTATGCCTTGTGGTAGCGTATCTTAAAGTAGCGTCAGAACGCTACTTCGACAAAGTTGCGTGGCACAATAACTCTCTTTTCGTGGCTGCCACTAGTTATTTATCGGACTTAAGCGACGAGGCAACGCAAAGCCGCCGTTGCCTAAAACATGTCTCTTTGGATCCATCGAATCCTCTATCGGTACTTTCAGGCTTTTCAAGCACCGGTCACCGTTCTCGTCGTCGATTACGACGCTAAGTGCGATGAGCGAATTAACCCATAGTCACAGCCCACTGAGAGTCTCGTCGGATCTTCTCAGTACGCGGTGATTCCGATTCGATGGTAGATTCTGCGAACCACTGCTCCTAGGGCTAGTGTTAGAAAATTCTCTCAGGTTGAGCCCGTGAGCTCACCTACTCACCCGGGCGTAGCTGGAATAGCCCCTTAGGCTACCAGCGAATAGATAGGTAAAAACTATTGATTTCAGAATAAGACATTGTATCAATACGAAGTACCTAATTTGTCTTTTATTGGAGACTAGTGGCCCGCTCTGGCTCCGCTCGGGTCTTTAACAAAAATTTCAACGATATTAGACGTTGTTTTTTTTTTAAATAAAAGAACACTTATTGCGGCATAACTGTAATAGTTAGATATATGATGTCGTGACACTTTTTGTAAATAATAACGTGTTCTACAAAGTTGTAGTACATTATTTTATTCTATAATCAATAGTTTTCGCAGGGCACGCGATGTAAAGAATATTTTAAGTAATTTTTTTACACATTGGGTATTTTTTCCACCTATTTTTAAAAAATATATATTATATCCTATGTCACTCGGGAATAGTGTAGCTTCCAAACAGTGAAAGAATTTTTTAAATCGGTTCAATAGTTTCGGAGCCTATTAAATACAAACAAACAAACAAATCTTTCCTCTTTATAATATTAGTATAGAGTATAGATAGGTTGAGAGTTAATTTTGAACAATACGTCTGCAATTCTGTACAGACTTAGAAAACATGAACAATAAGAATTTTTGTAATTACGAATTTAATAAGTAAATTAATGTTTGATAAATTAATTAATGACACGTTTTCTTTCCAGCGAGGCTCAAGGATAGCTTATGATATGGGATGGCCTAGCAGTGTGCCTTGTTGTATTGCTGCAATTTATGAATGGCAGTAACTATTTTCCATCAGATAAATAATACATTGGATGCACGTCACTTTGCAAACGCACAAAAAAATCAGAAGTGAATAAAGAACATAGAAACTAGGTTGCAAGACCTAATCATGCCAACTTATTTTGTCTACTCCAGGGTTTAAAATTAAAAAATGAAAAGAAAAACATTATTAAATTAAATTATTTATTTAGAAACTTCTTCGTGTACTTAACTAAACAAAAACAGAACTGTTGATGAACACAAGATATTATAACAGATGCCTAGATTCCGTTAACGACAGTTTGAAGATAAGTTTGTATATGTATGTACATATAAACAAGTTCCAAACAACAAAATTCGGACCGTCGGTCTACTGAGCAAATTCCACTCGCTCGTTAGAAGATCTTCCTTTTGTCATTACCTCTCAAACTGGTGACCGCAACGTGATTTGAACACGCAACCTTCTGAACTTCCCTTCTGATCCTCCTAATTAATAAATAAGTAAAACTACTTTTAACTAAGCTTAATCTCTTGTTTATTATTTTTAGTGAATATGAATACTCAAGTCGAACTAACTGCCAGTCCTGGCCTGGTCCTTGGCCAGTCCTGAAGACACTGTTCATGTTTCTTTCTGCGAGTAAAGAAATGTAAGAGTCCAGATTCTTTTTTGAAGTTATACTTCTTTAGGCGCGTTATGAAAAATTGATGAGAGTGAAATTTTACGATGCGCGCGCACCGTGACACAAAATTAACAGAAATGAAGTTGCCCACTAAATCGTTCATTACAATACGACCGACGTAACTTGGCGAGTCTGAATATAGCCGCAGGTGAACTTTCCGAACCGTACCGAGAATTACCGAATTTATACGATGTCAAGAAAAGGGATGTCCAATATGCGTGTTTGACGATGTTGTTTAATCGATTTTTTTTTCAAATTGATTAAAATTTAAATAAAAAAAAGAAAAAAAAGAAATCAATTTAATAAAAATAAAGTATAACTTCTTACGCGCGTACATAAGTACACGCACCATTTTTTAAATTTAAGACGGCTAAATGCCGTAAAAACAATATTCAAATATCGACGAATAAAATAACACCTTCGTCATTCGAGATCACGGAAACTGTAAAGTTTTTGAAATATCGGAAGCACTTCGCAAACGCAAATAATAAACAAGATATTAAATTTTAAATCAATTTTAATTACATCTACTACTCACAAAAATCGAAAAAAATACTAATTTATTATATAACATTACGGCCGATAATAATACTAAATGAAAAATAATACTAAATGAATTTCATGAATTTTATTAGACTTATAAAATTTACAAATTTTAATTTTTTATTTTTTTTTATTGCTTAGTTGGATGGACGAGCTCACAGCCCACCTGGTGTTAAGTGGTTACTGGAGCCCATAGACATCTACAACGTAAATGCGCCACCCACCTTGAGATATAAGTTCTAAGATCTCAGTATAGTTACAACGGCTACCCCACCCTTCGAACCGAAACGCATTACTGCTTCACGGTGGAAATAGGCGGGGTGGTGGTACCTACCCGTGCGGACTCCCAAGAGGTCCTACCACCAGTAAGAAACCATACATTAATTAATCTCTTCAGTTTTAACATTCTTGTACTTTTTTTGCATTTGTTTCCCTTGCTGACCTATCGAGACAAAGCTATATTGAAGGTCAAAATTCAACGGAGACACCTTTAAGAACATAAGGAATATTGTAATACATTTTTACATTTTCATTTTCGTTTATTAGTTCTTGCCTGTTAGTTTCAAATCATATTTGTATAAAATTACAGATATTTTCTGTTATTAATTTTCAAGATTTAATAAGGTTAATTCTCAAAATTAACTTTAAAACTGATCAAAGAGATAACTAATGAATGGAATTAATTTTAAGTTTAAGAGGACTATTTGGATTTATTTATAAGTGTGTTATCAAATCCGAATGTTAGTTTTAATATATCGAGAAATAATTATCATTGTACTATATTCGAGGTACATTAACGTAATATAAAATATAGTAAAAATTTGGTTTCTATAATCAAGAAGTAATACATTTATTAAGTATTTTTAAGTTACTCTAAGCTTAAGTTAGTTTACTTTACTTTAAGTTTAAGTTATTTTAAGTAATACATTTTTAATACAAATAATACATTCAGATGCATATAAATAAATTGAACAGTATATAGAGAAAAGAACAGATCGAAAAAAAGATGTGATAGAAAAGTTTAAAAGAAGCTAAATGCAATAAATAAAAGCAGAATGCTGCACAAACCCATAAATATTTGTATTATGTTTTGCATCGTCTACTCGTGATAATTTTGCGAAAAAAATTGAATATAGTTATAAAGTATACTCCTGTCAGTGAATCAATAGAGTTTAGAATAATACTGCTTTGGTATTTGTTATGTATCTGTAGAGTTATTTAAATTATATACGTAAATGGTATACAGAGACGAATCGGCAACAATATATTTAACTACTTCTTAAGTTTAAGTAGTTTGGACAAATTACCGTTTTATGAGAATAAGAGTGTCTTAAACTTATACACATTCAAATATATACGTATGAAACACAAGTGCTATAATACAATTCAATAAAAAAATATTAGTATGCTTTTGCATTTGAAATACATTTAAATGTGTAAGAAATATGAAATAGTTATTAATTACAAAGCATACAAATTTTCAGTCCGAGACTTTTATAATGTGTGAGTAGTGGTACTATATATTTTTACTATATGACGATCAGGACCACTCTGTCAAGAGCGACATGATTGAGAAAAAGAAGAAGAAGTGGTGTTTTCATAAATAAATAAAACATTAGAAACATTCTTACTCTAGCATAGCATTCGATACATTAATTTATATTTCCTTAGAAATATTTCCCAGAAAGCTCTAGGGAAAAATGTCAACCAGTATATTTCTTGGACTTATTATGTAACAGTTGAATTTTCATCTACAATATTAATGACAGTGTGCCTGCCAAAGTCTTCCAATATGCCATCAATGGACACATAGGCTCCAGAAACCAAGGCTATAATGGCTATTATGGCAATAATGATGTTCTTCCACAGAATGTAGTTGAATCTTCCGAAATCTTTCTCCCAAAGATAAATTGTTTGGACGGCGACCGGTATAAAAAGCCCAAGAGTTGAGAAAAAGATTGCTCCAACGAGACCGATCACTAATTCCAAATTGGGAAATGCCGCTCCAATTGCAACTGTTCGAATAAATTAATATATTAGAATATTTTGTGTTCGGAAAATTATGTAAAATTTCAATGGGTTGATATTAAAATAAAACAAGCTTTGTAGATGGTATTTTAACTGACATTCTGGATTTATCGATATTCCTCGAATTATGACGATTATTTTATTAAAACACTAGCGGCCCGCTCCGCCTCCGCTCGGGTCTTTAACAAAAATTTCAACGATATTTGACGTTGTATTATTTTTTTAAATAAAAGAACATTTATTGCGGCATAACTATATAGTGAGACATATGCTGTGGAGACACTTTTTGTAAATAATAATGTGTTCTACAAAGTCGTAGTACATTATTTTATTCTATCATGAATAGTTTTCGCAGGGCACGCGATGTAAAGAATAGGTAATTTTTTTACACCTTGGTTTACATTATTGGAGTTTTAGTAATGATCCCTTTTTTTTTCAAAAATGATTTTAGCCTATGTCACTCAGGAATAGTGTAGCTTTCAAACAGTGAAATAATTTTTCAAATCGGTTCAGAACTTTCGGAGCCTATTCAATACAAACAAACAAACAAATCTTTCCCCTTTATAATATTAGTATAGATTACATTTAAACTGGCTATTGGATGTGCGAAAATGAAATAATTTGACTGTTGATTAATTGAGGCGGATCTAACAAGCTCTTCTTTGAAACTGCAAATACACATAACTTTACCGTATTTTATGATAATGTTTATTTATTTGCGTTATTGGATTTTATGAGTTTATTACACCGTTAATAAATTATGGCAGCTGTAATTTACTGTTTAATTTTATTTATTTCGCAAAATATAGTGTGTATAATAATTATCAAGTGCTTTTATAATTATTTAACCTGAAACTAAATTAGCTTGACTTAAATTGATTATTAAAATAAAAAGATATAGTGAAGATAGAAAAAATAATTTGACGTAAAACATTCAAATTACCTGTAAGTGTGACCAGACAAGTCCTGATCGTGATCTGGATAAGATTTTCATATGAATTTGATTTCCTTGTCGCCAGCATCCTAGTTATGAACTCCATTGGAACGTAAAATTGCAGTGCGTACGTCAGGTATATTACAAAAGCCATTATTAGCTTGGCCGATTGGGCAATGCTGGAAGATATAATTTGCTAGGTTTAGGCTTCACGACTATTTGCCTAGTTAAACAAAAAAAATATATATACATATGTGTCGGAGACGGTCATTAGTATGGTAGCTAAACGAAACGCAGCACGATTCCCGAGAGATGGCAGCACGATTGCGGTATCGTCGGAACTCGGCTAACTTCGTGCTACGACAGAGCCTAGCCTATGGAGGCGCGTAGACGCGATTACACACTTACCAACCAGCCTTCTTGAAGAGCGGTGCCTCTATCTTAAGAAATGTCATTTGTTTTCGTTTGCTAACGCCAAAATACGATTTCTAGGTTATTCTAAGACAACAGACGTGATTGCTGTACTCAATATTTCTTTTAGTTCGATCACCTTATTCGCCCCTATGATGTCTGACGATGGTGTTAATAATAGTGGCTTCTTCGACATATATGTATTTTCCTAAACATTGAAAAATAATGACGATACAAGTTATTGCGACTAAATCGAAAAAATATATAATTGTGTCACCGATTGGGCTCGATAGACCACCGAACTGTGTGTGTCGGAAACCAGTTAAAAAACTGTTTGCTATGTATGAATGACAGAGTTCATGTTGTGATGTCTAAATGGTCTACAGACTAAAAAAATCCCACCTGGTTACAGATTAGCTCGATAATGGCTGAACTCCAATAGATTTAGACACCGATTTCGACTGACTTGAAGTTTCATGAGTGACAGTGCCCACTTATAGCCTGATGAAGATGATGATGAGATGATACTAAAAATACTTCTGTAGTACGAAAGAAAATAAGTCAAAGATGTGCTTACATTTCATCTTGCGGTAAGTTCAAAGTCACACTCCCTTTGACCTCATCCCCGAATTGCACGTAGCCAAAGAACCCAAACACTCCATAAAGTGTTATGACTATAAACATAGATGTGTTCAAGACACCTGGGCAGCCGAGGAATCGACGAGGGTTGGCCATTTCGTTCTCAACTGGCATTACTACTCCAATCCCTTCCATTGCGAATATCACTGTACTAAAATAAACATAAAGAAATTGGTATATTTTTAGTGAAAGTATTTTATAATATAAAAAAGTGCATAATGCATAAAAGATACATTAAATCAATAAAAAAAACATTACACACACTACATACCATGTATTTGACGCACACACGCATGCATACCATTTATTGTCAAACTTTTGTTCTTGACGTCAGTTTTTAAATTGAGATTAAATATTGTTTGTCTTTCTTAATATTTTTTATAGTGTAGCTTTGGCGAAATTTGTGATTATAGAAGTATAAAATACAATCATAATAGTGTACAAATTTACAATTCCAATTAATTATAGTCGAATTTCGACTACTGCGGGACCTCTAGTTCTATTAAATATAGTAAATAGTCAGCATAATATACTAAGGCTTCATGTTTGTGAAAGTGAAATGTATCATAATGCATATTTATTTCTAGTATTATTGGTAAATTTAAATGTAAATCATATTATCTTCAATACAAGGGCCCTACATTAATTCAGATCTACTTACCAAATATAAATTCATCTTTAAGATAATAATTATGTACACGATAATTTCGTATGTAAATTATATAAATTTGTTCAGTGTTCATTTACTGAAATGATTTTGTGAAAATGTTAACACGTGTCGACAGCGTGTTTCGGTTCATGTAACATTCAATATTATTTGTATAAAAGAACATTATGTACTTTATAGATGAAATAGGAAAAAAAATCCAGAAAGTTCGGGAAGTAATCCCTATTAAGCTGTGATAAGCGATTTAATCGTATAATAAATATTTTGGTAATATGATGTTGGGATTATGTGTTCTAATTAGGTAGATGTGACGCGTAGTAGGTTCAGGGCGTGAATACTGTCAATATATATAACAGCCTCTCTATATGAAGTGTTTTAAGCTGATTTGATGACTGAAGTGTACGAACTGAAGTGAGTAAGTACTGAATAATTGAAGTATATGTATGTTTTTTTTTCCTACCTAATTTTGAGAGGCTATATAAGCGGAACCTTAACTAGTAGGTGAGCTCACGGGGCTCAAACCTGAGCACGATGCTAACACGAACCCTAGCAAGAGCCGTTCTTCGCAGAATCTACCACCGGATCGGAAACGCGACCCACTGAGAAGATCCAGCGAGAAACTCAGTGGGCTGTGTCTGAGGGTTAATTTACTCATCGAGCCCTTCGTCGCAAGCGACGGGTTCGACCAGAACGGTGACCGGTGCTTGAGGTACCTAAAAGCACCGTTAGTGGATCGGGAGGATCCGAAATGACGTGTTGGGGGCGACGTCGACTGCTTTCCATTCTGTCCGCAAGATCGGGAATGTACGTGGCGTCATAATACCGTCAAAGCATGGTTTGCTACTTTTTAAGTTCTAAATTTTAATGGCACTATTTATAGTGTGAATGATGCGTCAACGGTACAATTTCTACTTTCTAATACAGCATTTATTTTTACATGATAAAAATATAATTTAAAGGTGTTTCGTTAACATTATTGGAATCACTAGATTAGTTTAGGTAGGCAGTGGCTTGGCTCTGCCCCTGGCATTGCTGAAGTCTATGGGCGACGGTAACCACTCACCATTAGGTGGGCTGTATGCTCGCCTGCCTACAAATGCAATAAAAAAAGTGTCAATTATATCGTATCAAGGTTGTCCTATCCTACAGATCGAACTTACAATACGCTCTTTCACCAGTCAATACACTATCGCAATATTCTGGTAAAATACTCAGCGAATTTGAATCGCTTAGTCGCCTCATACGACTGCTACAGAAAGAAATGCCGTGGTGTTATAGTCTAGGCTTTTTTTATTGCTTAGATGGGTGGATGAGCTCACAGCCCAGCTGGTGTTAAATGGAGCCCATAGACATCTACAACGTAAATGCGCCACCCACCTTGAAATATAAGTTCTAAAGGTCAATCCGAAACGTATTACTGCTTCACGGCAGATATAGGCGGGGTGGTGGTACCTACCCGTGCGGACTCACAAGAGGTCCTACCACCAGTAATTACGCAAATTATAATTTTGTGGGTTTGATTTTTATTACACGATGTTATTCCTTCACCGTGGAAGTCAATTGTGAACATTTGTTAAGTACGTATTTCAGTAGAAAAATTTGTATCCGCCTGTGGTATTCAATCACCGCTGCATCGCTAGATACGAATGCACCGGACGTCTTATCCTTTAGGGACTATTTTCTAGGCTGTAATAAACTCAATTTACCTCAAAAACAACGGCCAAGTGGACACATTAGCGACCATTACTCTATCAGACACAGGAGGCAGGTCGAAAAACATGTAGTACAGAGTAATCGCGAAGACCAGGAAGATGAGGGCGTTGGCAATAGCCGAGAACGGAACCAGGTACTTAAGATTCCTGATCTGGCAGACCACGACCAGGGGAACCAGACTGAGAGCGCAGTAGGCTTGGATCGATAGCTGATATCCGGGCATATATACATCTAGTGCCTGCAAAGTAAAATAATTAGCATATTTATGAAATCCGATGATCTCTTCTGAGTCCGCACGGGTAGGTACCACCACCCTGCCTACTTTTGCCGTGAAACAGTAATGCGTTTCGGTTTGAAGGATGGGGCAGCCACTGTAAAAACTGAGGCCTTAGAACTCTTATCTCAAGGTGGATGGTGCCGTTTACGTTGTAGATGTCTATGGGCTCCAGTAACCACTTAGCATCAGGTGGGCCGTGAGCTCATGCACCCATCTAAGCAATAAAAAAAAAGTTTCTTAATGAGGCATCTCGGCATCAGAGACATCCGTGTTAGTATTCAAATCAAGAATCAAGAAATAAGCAGGGTGGTGGTACCTACCCGTGCGGATTCACAAAAGGTCCTACCATCAGTAAAAATAAGGATTATGTGGTTTTATGATACCACGGTAAAAGTGAAACTTTTTTCACATTTTAGACATTTCATTCTGACAAACAACATTTACATTAAACACTGACAAAAACAAACAAAATAGCGTGGAGCACTGGCACAAATGAGTAATAGTCTATACACCACACGGCCAGTTGCTGCGAACTATAGGCGCCGCCATATTGGCCTTGGCTGCCCTGACGAGCGCCTTTCACTTTAGTCATACTCCGCAGCCGACCGTCACGCGACATGCAACACACAGACGAAAAAATTTGAGACGATGCAATAAAAGTTTCACTTTAAAATGGCAAAATTCAGACTCTGGTACCGAATAAATTAATAAAGAAGGACTGCTCCAATATCTTCGAAGTATCATAGTAACGCGTATTATTACTATTGTTCAGTTCTCGGTACTTACTTCTTTGAGTGACGATCCAATAAAAACAACGTAAACGCATAGAACACTCAAATATGTCACCGAGAGCGAGTAATCGACGAATTTTCTGAAAATAAATAATACATAATAATATCTTTTTTTCAATTACAACCAAAATCGAAATTAAATTCGTGTAGTTGTGTTTTTGTTTAAAAAAAACATTTCAACAAAACATAGCATCCTAATATTTAATAAAAAATTATACCTAGTAATCTATAATCTATATATGTAAAAATGAATTGCTGTTCGTTAGTCTCGCTAAAACTCGAGAACGACTGGACCGATTTGGCTAATTTTGGACTTAAATTATTTGTGGAAGTCCAGAGAAGGTTTAAAAGGTAGATAAAGATGAAAACGCTCGGAATTAAATAAAAATAACAATTTTGTTTTTCCTTTGATGTGTCCCCTGTCGGACGGATTCCTTTTGTTTGTTTTACGTTTATTTTATACCAAAGTTTAGGTCTTTTATTTATCGATTGAGGCACTACGAAGTCTGCCGGGTCAGCTAGTACTTCAATAAAATACGAACCGTGCACAACAACAAAAATGACAACAAAACACCATTGTGGGGGGTGGGGCAGACGTTATGCAACGCAATTGAAATCTAGAACTCAAGTGTCTTTGTGGATAGCAGCATTCCATGATGATAACCACGGGCTCCGGTAACCATTTAATGCTTAATAAGCCGTGAGCTCGTCAGCTATTCAAATTAAATAATTAAAATTTTATCTAATGTATTATATAAATAGATAAAATTCTTTTGATATTAGTCTAAATTTTGAAAAAGGACACTGAATAGATTTTCAAATAAGTATATATAAATTTTTTGAAGAAAAATCACGCACGGTCTTTTGTCCCCAACTTAGGATTCTCTGTGTTATGGGTACCAGTGACTGACAAACATACTGTTACGCTGGTAATTGTAACACCATCTATCGCCGAATAGTCGAACGAATATAGAAGGATTTAGTAGCACCCAGAATGCTCGAGAATTACAACGCCATCTTTTGTCAAATAGCGGAAACTACTACTAGAGATGTGTGAAATATTCTCGATAATTCTAGGGATGAGGTATCGGCTATAAAAGCTATGTAGAGATGGCACGCAGTCAGTCAGTAATCGGAACTACTCTTTTATTTTTTTTATTGCCCTTGGAGGCAGACGAGCATACGGCCCACCTGATGGTGAGTGGTTACCGTCGCTCATAGACTTCAGCAATGCCAGGGGCAGAGCCAAGCCGCTGCCTACCGCTTAATACTCCCCATAAGCCTCGTTTGACGAAGGACATAGCGCTCGGGAAACACCGTGGAGGGGAGCTCATTCCATAGCCGGATGGTACGTGGCAATAAAGATCTCTGGAAACGCACTGTGGATGAACGTGGTGGCTCCAGGTAGTATGGATGAACTCTACTCCGGTGGCGGGCGGTGCGATGGTAAAAGCGAGATGTCGGTATCATCTCGAACAATTCCTCAGAGCACTCCCCATGGAACATGCGGTACAGAATACAGAGGGAACCGAATTCCCTCCGCAGACCCCGAGGTTCCAATCGATCCGTAAGAATGGGATTATCGACAATCCGAACGGCTCTTTTCTGTATGGAGTCAAATGGAAGTAGCTGGTATTTGGGAGCCCCAGCCCAGAGGTGGGAGCAGTACTCCACGCGAGTCCGGACCTGTGCTTTGTAAAGCAAAAGTCTTTGTCCAGGCGTGAAGTACCGCTTCGAATTGAGAGTTTTAAAGCGTTTGTTGAGTGTTTTAAAGTGTTTGCGTAGTGTTTAAGTGTTTTAAGTCTTGAATATAGTTTTGTTAGTTGTACTTTGGTAGAATTTTATTTATCCCGGACCCAAACGCGTAACAATACTTATATACATTTTAATATATACAAATATATTATATAGTTAATGAACACCCAGACAAAGAGCAAAGAAACCTGTTCATCACACAATGTTTGCTCGAAGTAAGAATCGAACCCGCGAACCCCGGCGCAAAAGTCAGGACTGTTAACCACTGCACCGCCGAGTCAGTTTAATTTTTATTATTTACCTATACTTTTTATGTTCAATGTGCTTAGTGTGAGTTTTTTAACTTCTCGATCACATAAAATAATTTAATAATTTTAATAATTACTGGTGGCAGGACCTCTTGTGATGTTCCTCACGGGTAGGTACCACCACCCTGCCTATTTCTACCGTGAAGCAGTAATGCGTTTCGATTTGAAGGGAGGGGCAGCCGTTGTAACTATTCTGAGACTTTATAACTTACATCCAGAAGCTGTTCCAACTCCACACAAATTTGTGTTAACTCTTACGCGATCGAGGAGTTAAAAAACTCGTACTAACCACACAGATTTATTCCCCTTTTTTTAAGTGATTTTATGACCTGGTAACTAAGACCTTTAAGTCATGTCTTATTTTAATTTTTAATCTTATTTTTATTAAGAATGATAATATGGAATGAAATGAAATGAAGATGATTAATTTGAGACATTAATCAACTGGGATGAAATTAAATGAAATGAGATGATATGAGATGAAATATAGTCTGAGTAAAATGGTGGTCATTTACTGAGTAGGACTTATTCCCGAAAAAAACACACTAAGTAATACATATAAGGTGACTTACTGGATTGCTCCGGACCAAGAGCGTAATCTTTTGGGTCCGTACATAAAGGCAGCACCACATGTTTCAGCAAAACTCAATGAAGGCCTCTTTGCTTCAACGCAGATTTGCTGTGATGTTTTTACCTTAAAAAATAATGCATTTATCTAATTATTATCCATATTCTAATTATTATACACAATATTTACTATAGCTTTCCTTGGTCAATATGTTAATGGAGCTCATAAAGGTATTACAACTTGAATGACATTTCGTACCTTGTAATAAGATTTAAGTCGTCGTGGCTTAAAAGATAAAACACCCGGTGCATTCGTATCAGGCGATGCGACTGTGCCGATGTTCGAATCCCTCAGACGGGTAACATTTTTTCTAATGAAATACGTACTTATCAAATGTTCACGATTGACTTCCACGGTGAAGGAATAACATAGTGTAATAAAAATCAAACCCGCAAAAATTATATATTTGCGTAATTACTGGTGGTAGGACTTTTTGCAAGCCCGCATGAGTAGGTACCAACACCGCACTGTAGCACTGATGCATTTAGATTAGTATCATGCCTCGAGGTGGTAGGCGACATTTACGTTGTTGACATCTACGGGCACCAGTGACCACTTAATACCAGATGGACTTTGTGCTCATCCACCAATAAAAATTAAAAAAGCAAACTGAAAAAAGTCGGTTGGATCTGCACTTGCTGTCAGTATGAAGTCAAACAAGTCATTAGGGAAGAAGGCTAGCGGTCTTACGTACAACTACACAGCTTAGAGAATGGTTGGAGTTAGAAAGGAAAATAAAGAATACTAGAGGTCCCGCAGTAGTCGAAATTCGACTATAATTAATTGGAGAGAGAGAGAGAGAGAGAATACACTTTATTGCACACCAAAACACAATTTACATTCAAAAAAACAATCAAAAAACAGATAAATTTGTACAATAGGCGGTCTTATCGCTAAAAGCGATCTCTTCCAGACAACCGTATAATTTATAGAAATTCTGGAAAATATAAAAAAAATATGGCAGGTATGTTGCGGTGTACTATAGATAATACATTATAGAAAATATATACATACAATAAACAAAATATATACCGTTTACATATAATATGAAATATATACTTATTATTATATACCAATATACATACTTACATACAATACATACTAATATACTTACATACACATAATACATCAACAGTATGGAAATAATAAATGATGATGCAAACAAACAGCACTAAGAAGATAAGTAGTGTTCCTTTACCATTCTTTTAAAACAGTTTAAAGTTTGAGCACTTCTCACTGCATCCGGCAGAGCANACGATGTAATATTCTTTGACTTGTTAAGAATTTTATGTAAGTAAATTCTTTTCTACTAATCCAATAGTAAAAGACAAATTGTTACACAGAAAAGTTCTTCGGAAAAGTTAGTAAGCAATTCCAACTATATTTACATAAGTAAGTGTTGTAAGTTTATATTATTTTGCATTCATTTTATTTTGTTTCAATTCCAAAATGTTTCCATTCATTAACATTAAAACATTATTCCTTTAGTATTTGCTATCTGCTTAAAATATAATATATATTTATTTATTTATTTCCATTGACTTATTTTATTGTTGGCGATAAATCAAATCAAATCAAATCAAAAAAAAAATTATTCAACTAGCCTTCGTCCTGAGAAGAATTGGCAAGAAACTCAGCGGGCATGTCTTCTTTTTTTATATTAGATATTTTTTTTTAATATTCATTTTTACAATGAGTATTATAACGTAAAAATTATTATAATATTGAAATGCCCGGAGCGAGCATTTCCACTTTGTGTAATTTTCTAGATAATCATTGACTTTATAGTAAGCTTTATTGCACAGATGTTCTTTAATAGTTTTCTTAAACTTATGTATATGCAGGTTCTGAACATCTTGTGGGATTTAGTTGTACAGGCGCACAGACAAACACCCGAATGAATTTCGTATCTTATGTGACCTACTCATCGGCACAACAAGCTTGTGTTTGTTCCTAGTATTTCTATTATGTATGTCCGATATTTTAGGAAACTCCTCAATATGTTTACGAACATACATCAAATTTTCAAAGATGTACTGGGACGGCATAGTGAGAACTTTAATTTCTATAAATTTTTCCCTCAAGGATACCCTTGAGTGCATGTTATGAATGAATACATTCAGTTTTTTTATATATTCAAGTAGATTTCTTATGGAATCAGGAGATTTAAAAAAAAATGTCGCTTTGCCCTTCACAGATTAATGTTAGTATTTACAATTCACTCCAAAACAAACGTAGCTTTTGTAACTCTAGTAAGAATGTAAAAAGCTAAGATTCCGTCTTCAAATTGTCTTTCAGCACGTGTTCTTCATTGTTTAATCAAGTTTAATGAACACGAAATGTAAATTTGTCTTTCTTCTTTTAAAAAAATTTTTAGTTTGCTTACAAATTTTTTTTTGGGCTGCTGGTGTTGGTGAACTGATTTAAAAGATACCTTCAAATTTAATAAAGGTATATTTTGCATTCACTTTTGTCCATTATGTTAATTTCATTCTATTCTATTCTTCTAAAATGATAAATATTAGTATTCAATTAAGTTTTTGAGACGCAAAAGCGCTACTAATAACAAAATGAATCCTCTTTCTTTACACGCAGAATTATCCTGAACTCTGATAGTCTATTAAACTTTCAACTTCGTTTTAATATCTTAGCTTTTCGAATAATCTCACGAATCTATTATAGTTGAACTTTAAGTATTTCAAGATTAAAAGCTTTTTAGGAAAGAGCTTGAAGTTTCTTAATATCTGAAATACAGCGATTCAAACATCGTTCTGGTGAAATTTGTTGTTACGAGAACANACGCAGAATTATCCTGAACTCTGATAGTCTATTAAACTTTCAACTTCGTTTTAATATCTTAGCTTTTCGAATAATCTCACGAATCTATTATAGTTGAACTTTAAGTATTTCAAGATTAAAAGCTTTTTAGGAAAGAGCTTGAAGTTTCTTAATATCTGAAATACAGCGATTCAAACATCGTTCTGGTGAAATTTGTTGTTACGAGAACATAATTGTTAGTTTTGATTAATATTTCCATTGTGAAGATGACAGAATTTCGAGGCTCAACTGATACTAGACAAGTATAGAAGTAATAATAATAATAAATCATATAAATAATAATAATAATTAATATGTAATATTAATAAATAATGTTCATAACTGGGAACAAATCTCGAATGTCATCCGGTCCCAATTTAGGATTCCCTGTGTTATGATATCAGATGTGGGGATCGAATCCACGACCCTCGGCGGAATAGAAAGGGCCGCAAACCACTGCACCACCGAGTCAGTCTGTTGAAGTCCATAGACATCACATCTTTAATGTAACCATGAAACATGAGGTCGTAATATCAATTTTATTATACATATAACGGCAATCTCACAATTTAAGCCAAAATGAATGTTTTGTGTCAGAACAGATAGGATGATGGTTTTGCAGACTCAAGACTGCGTAGTTATGAGTCTGCATGATATACACTCAACCACCAGTAACTACTAAATTTATCATATCTTTAAATTAATACGTGAAGCAAAAACTTTGTACCCCTTTTTACGAAAATTGCGCGGATGGAGGAGTATGAAATTTCTCACACTTATAGAGAATATAGAGAAGGTGTGCTGAATGCTAATATTTTTTTAAATTAAGCATAAAAAAATATTGAATCAATAAAAAAACATTACACACACTACCATGTATTTAACTCACACACGCATGCACACTTACTATTTGTTTATTGTCAAACTTTTCTTATTGCTTAGAGTCTGAGGTCAAATTGAGAATAGATTAAATATTGTTTGCCTTTATTAATATTTGTCTTTAGCGAAATATGTTATTTACTCGTAGAAGTAATAGTCTGACAATAGAATCATAATAGTGTACAAAATTATAATTTCTATGAATTATAGCCAAATTTCGACTACCGTGGGACTATTAGTTTTTATTAACACGATTCTATTCCATTATTTAGAAGTTTTCCGTAGACACTTGACGTGACAACGTCTTATATATAATTCGATGGAGCCGGCTACATGCACGAAAAAACATGACTCATTGAGGCGTTCCATTTAAGGCTTGAAGCGCAAGCGAGAGCGCGCAACGAGCGACAAAGAAGCACAATCGGCCTCCGCGTTCGGCAGCGTTCGGCATCTGTCTCTCTCCTACTTGAGTGAGCGATGCATCCGCATGGACAGCTGCTATACATTTACGTGTTTTCGTCAAGTATGAAGTTCAGTGAAAAGTGAATGTAGTGTCAATTGTTTATAGCAACGATAATTGCAATAATTGAAAAATGAAACCATTCCATCAGTATTTTCGTATGACGTTGTCACGTTCAACTATCGTCAGTAAACCGTCTTTACAGACAACCGATTTTTAAGTGAGTACCTACTTAAAGAATTTGAACCTCGGCACAGTAGCGTCACTCGACCTGATTATATTGGACGTCTCGGCTTGGTCACCGACGTTTCTTTTTTTAATTGATTAGATCGGCTAATAAGCTCACGGTTTATCTAGTGTTAAATGGTTGTTGAAGCTTATAAACATTTACAGTGTATTTACACTTGCCGCCATCCACCTTGGGACATGAGTTCTAAGTCTCAGTTTTACAGTACTGCCCCACTCTTAAGCCCAAATGGATTCCTGTTTCAAAGCAGCACTAGACAGGGTGGAGTTACTTACCCGTACGGACTCACGAGACACCATACTACTACTAATTACAACAAATAATGATTTTTGGGGGTTTTATTGCGCGATGTTATTCCATCTAATTCTTAGGAAGATTTTTTAATATTTTTTATTGCTTAGATGGATGGACGAGCTCACAGCCCACCTGGTGTTAAGTGGTTACTGAAGCCCATAGACATCTACAACGTAAATGCCCCACCCACCTTGAGATATAAGTTCTAAGGTCTCAATATAGTTACAACGGCTGCCCCACCCTTCAAACCGAAACGCATTACTGCTTCACGACAGAAATACGCACGGTGGTGCTATCTACCCGCGCGGACTCACAATATGCCCTACCACCAGTAAAAAGATTACTAAAAGATTACTAGTATTGCTTACCAAAATATGTACAGTGTGTGTACAGACGAAACCAGCTAGGATAGTACCAATGACACCAGCCACTAGACCAGAATTCTTGAACGCAGCAGGCATCGCCAGTATACCAGAGCCAAGACAGGATTTCAGGAGATGAAGAATCGACCCCAATGTCCTATTGGCGAAATTCATAATTATATGAATTATATTCTTACATTTCTCTCACTTAGGGTTCACTTTACGTAAAGCGGTTACTTGAGTCAGGAATTAACAACTTAAATGTTTACTATCGCACCGCTCGCCACCAGAGCAGAGTTCATCCATACTACCTGGAGCCACTGCGATCATCCACAGTGCGTTTCCAGAGACATTTTTTGCCACGTACCATCCAACTTCGGAATGAGCTCCCCTCCACGGTGTTTCCCGAGCACTATGACATATTATTCCTCAAACAAGGCTTGTAGAGAGTACTTGCGGTAAGCAGCAGCTTGGCCCTGCCCCTGGAATTGCTGACATCAAAGGGCGACGGTCACCACTCACCACTCACCGTGGGCCGTACGCTCATCTGCCTACTGGGGAACTAAAAAAAGGGTGCGTGTACTTATGTACGCGCGTAAGATGTTATACTTTATTTTCATTAAATTTATTTCTTTTTTATTTTTAATATTAATTAATTAATAATAAATATTTAACGTTAAAAAATGAATGCTAATAACACTTTTTTTACGAGTGTACATGCGCGAAAGTTCACCTGCGGCTATATTCAGACTCGCCAAGTTACGTCGGTCGTATTGTAATGAGCGATTTAATGGGCAACTTTATTTCTGTAAATTTTGTGTCACGGTGCGCGCGCATCGTAAAATTTCACTCTCATCAATTTTTCATAACGCGCCTAAAGAAGTATAACTTCAAAAATAAAAATAAAAACTTACTGCCTTTACAAGCCTACCTCAAACTAAATAGACAAGTTCTCAATTTATGAGTCATACAGTAAATAAAATATGTACATCGTCTATAGCCTATTGTTTTGAATTTCAATGGCTTTTACAAACAAAACTTGACGATGACCTTAAGAATAGACTGGCCGCCTGATAAAATATTAAAGCAAGAATGAAACAGTTTTAGTTTGAGATAAAATCCGAATACTATTCTATAATTTATATTAATGCAACATAAAGTTCTGTTATAAGTAAGTAAAGTTTTTAGTATACCACCTTTAGAAAATAATAGACGGCATTATTTACTTCTGGATATGTGTATAAAATATTCCATCAAAAAATCAGCTTAAAAAGATTCGACTTACCACTCAATATTAATATGAAATAATAATAAGTATCCGTGTACAATTTGACTTGGCAAATTGAACTCAATGCATTCGTTTATTTAAGTGTTTTATGCCTTGATTTCCTTATTGTTCTTGTACCTATTCGAACTAAGCATACGAAAAACCTTTCTTTTATTACCAAAATGAATGGTCTGCTTTTTTATATCGAGCTTTAAAAGCTAAACTTGTTATGCGTTTCGGAAACACATGCGAGAAAAGAACAATGATACATACATAATAAATCCAGACTACGAATTTCTAATATCATAAACAAAAAATACTGACTTCGACTGAGAAATAAATCTAGACTCAGACGTAGCTAGGGTGAATAGCCGCAGATCGATTTCATTACATGCATCTTTTGCATCTAAAGTGTTCTCAAAGCCTTTGTCATGTCGCTATTCTATTGTCAGTGACAATAGACACAAACTATTTCATTAGATCCAAATAAGTTCTGAGAAGGACATTACACAAAATACTCACGTGTTAGGATGTTGTACATTTCGATGTTCAAAAGGGTTATAGGGCTTGTCGTCTTGAGGTAGACCTTTTGATGCAATGCTCAATGTAGATTGGAACCCTGGATTGGCCGCGAGCCCAATTCTTAAAACAGAACAAAAAAAAAATACGATACAATAATTCTAATATCTCATTGATTTGACGTGAATAGTCCTTAAGCTTAATTTGACTGACTAATATTAGATTTAAAAGTACCATTTTGAATGACCCTTGCTTTTTTACGATTCGAATATGATAAATATTGTGGCCAAATTTACAATTAAAAGTAATATGGACCGGTTACGAAATAATAACTACCTCAAAGAAACCGTGCGTATTTTTAGCAATTCCAGTTAAAAAGGTTCAAATCTATACTTAATATTATAAAGCTGAAGGAAGTACTGGTCGATTTGAAAAATTCTTTCAGTGTTAGATAGCCCATTTATTGAGAAAGGCTATAGGCTATATAACATCACGCTAAGACTAATACAAGCGGAGCACCAATAAATAATGTTTCAAAATCGAGTTTTTTCGAATTATTCGAGGTGGTCCTGCATCTCCTTATTATTGTAGGTATACGACAAAGTGAAGATCTTCCACCGAGCGGGTGATATTGCTCGGTAGACCGACGGTCCGAATGTTGTTGTTCGGAACTTGTATATAAGCAAGCTTATCTTCAAAATGTCGTAAGCGAGATTCAGGTATCTGTCAAAAATCTTGTGTTGCAGTGACGTGTAGTTATCCTTAGCTACACGTCACATTATCATCACATCTCCCGCCATCGGAGCAGAGTTAATCCATGCTGTCTGGAACAGCTGCATTCATCGACAGTGCATTTCCAGAGACATTTTCTAACACGAACCATCCAGTTCTGGAATGTTCTCTCTTACACGGCGTTTCTCGAGCGCTATGACATGTCCTTCTTGAAATGAAGCTTGCGGAGAGTATTCTCCGCTAGGCAGCGATTTAGCTGTGCCCCTGACGTTGCTGATATCCATGAGCCTCGATAACCACTCCCCATTATATGAGCCGTACGCTCATCTGCCTACAAAGGCAATAACAAAAACATGAGAGAGGGAGAACTAATACCTTTTTTTATGAATGTCAAACGGGCAACATATAAACATTATTTTTACGTTAACACATTACGATCGCCTGTTTCCCTAAAAACGTTTGCTCTTAAATAAACACATACTACATAAACATATACTTTGATTGGATTAGATGTTCAATATTACCCTGTCTTTCATTTTTAAATCCGCTTATCTCCCAGATAGATGTGAAGAAAGGTTGGGTGGACACTTGCGCGATAAGAACCAGTTGCCTAATATAATACTTGAGATAAGAAATGAATCTTTAAAATCAACATTTCTTCACTGTATTTTTTTTATATATTTACGAATGGTAATAATCTGATAAAGAGAACTTAACCTATTTCAATTTCAATATACAGTGATATTGAATAATTAGACTTAAATTCTAAGCTTGCATGTTGTTTTTTTATTGCTCTTCATGATATTAATGATCCGTCTAATGTTATGTGATTATCGTGGCCTATCAGAACTTGAATGTCTTCACTCACTCTGAGGTATGAGCTTAAAGTTTCGGTTCAATTGTATAAAAACCAGAAATCATCGAACAGAAATAATAAGCGGAATCCAGCCAGCTAGTAGAAATGAACACAAAACTATCGAATTAATCTCCGAACCAGTTCATTTGCTTTGAAAATTTATGTCAAAACATTCTGTCAACCTCGACAATAAAAACTGCAATAGTATTGTAGCAAACGTCCCACTTGAATAAGCACCGATTATTTTGAATGGCACAAGGTTGTTCATTGAAATGAAGATTGATGTGCTGACCATAAATGAATTGTGTAGATTGTTATAGATCTAAATAATGCTTGACAAAGATAAAACGTTTTGTACCTATGGACATTTAAGTTTTTTTCTTTTTGTTTTTCTATTTCCCTGCTATGTCTATAATCTAAATCAAATGTGTGATCAATTCCAAATATTATACGAGTATAATATTAAGGTTCCGTCTAACTCCAATTTGAAATGAGATTTGTGTCAGCTGACTCACCCTTATCTTAACTTAAAAACATAATTAAGTATGTAATATCAGGTGGAAGGAACTATGGCGATTTTACTAAATTGTATAATACATATTAATTATTATTTTAGATGAAGCATTAAACATAATGTAGGTATTTCTTGACATTCTGCTCTGCGATCCATTTTTAATTTAGTTGTGTTGTTTTGATTATGTATCAATACAATTATCTATACAATTTGGTAGATTTAAACTGGACATTATTCGTAAATGAATTAAAAAGACGCATGATTATCTTATAAATTTTATTGCGGTTTCATCTACCCTATACATTAGAATAGGAACGCATATCAAAAATCGCCATGGCAACAGAGAGTGACATATTTGATATTTCATCCCGAGAAAATGTTTAGTTATTTTTCAATTAAAAGAAAACTTAGGCGGGATACATCTCGTATTAAAGTTGTTCTTGGATATGTTTTGTTTAACTTATTTTTTTATTCTTACTCACATCTATTGAACGTGATATATTTTGTTTGTTATTACACCTGTTTTCATAGTTTTTCAGTTAAATTGAGAAAGCCGGTGATTCGACCCATGTCAAACCGTTTTCATGGGTCGTGAGGAAAAATAAAATTGATACTTTAGAGCCAAGCAAGCCACTGATATTGTCTATATTTATTACTTATTATGATTATTTATTATGATATTTAACGATAGCTTAACAACACGTTTTGTAATCGATAGTAAAAAAATTGGGTCACAATGGCGATCTGGTTAGTTTCTGGCTCAGGTTCTAGTGTTGAACTGCAATCTGCTGCAATCTGCAATACTGCAATGAAGTTGTCGTGGCCTAAAGGTTCAGACGTTCGGTGAATTCATGTTGAACGATTTGTGTGTGTGTGTGTGTGTTGTCATATTCGAATCCCAGGCGAGTACCAATTTTTCTAATGAAATACGTACTCAACAAATGGTCACGATTGACTTCCACGGCGAAGGAATAACATCGTGTAATAAAAATCAAACCCGCAAAATTATAATTTGCGTAATTACTGGTGGCAGGACCACTTGTGAGTCCGCACGGGTAGGTACCACCGGCCCGCCTATTCTGCCGTGAAGCAGTGATGCGTTTCGGTTTGAAGGGTGGGGCAGCCGTTGTAACTATACTTGAGACCTTAGAACTTATATCTCAAGGTGGGTGGCGCATTTACGTTGTAGATGTCTATGGGTTCCAGTCACCACTTAACTGTAACACCAGGTGGGCTGTGAGCTCATCCACCCATCTAAGCAATAAACTTGGAGGCCGGCACAATCAATTTAAGAGGAAGGAAGCATTGGGTCCACTGTCGCTGACGGACAACGAAAATACCAAGTGCATTGCTAAGCCGTTGCACTTTCATTCTTCGTCTGTCTGTCTGTGGTGGGTAGCCATCACACAAGATATTTGAAAAATACCTGAATGTGGCCTACGACATTGTCAAGATAAGCTTGCATGTATACAAGTTCCGAACAACAACATTCGGATCGTCGGTCTACCGAGCAATTTTACCCGCTCGGTGGTAAATCTTCCCTTATCATCGTATACCAGCTCGCACCTCCCACATGTCCTTTGCTCTTATTTCCAACCCGCAGACTTATTTGTATATGAAGCAATTTAACCCTTTGCGGTCCTAAGATGAATGTAAGACTAAAATATATATCCAATACGTCTGAAGTCTGGACCTCAAAGCGTTAACTTGCGCCAACGAAAACATCAAACCATGCTCTTATGGTCACAATAAATTAAACGCATCCCGTTAAGAAGTCAACAGTCAAGTTTAATATTTAATTTATTTAATGTAGCCTAATGACTCAATGATCATTACTTGTACCAACTTTGTCATTATAAAAATGACTCTGAATGCGTGTGTTTTTTGCAACAACTTATCTACTTATAGTCTACAGATTGACTGCCGTTAAATAACTAAGAAAAAAAAATACCATTAATTTACTTACGTCGAAGAAAAGTTATCCACCTTAACTGATTGGCTTTTATTCTTCTCCATTATGGCTTTATCCTGCGAAACAAGATAATGAAATTAGTGAAAACGAAACAAGATTATAACTGATGTAACAACGATATCTGGTTATCCTGATATTATGAAGAGGTCCTTGCTCTCGCAAAGATCGTTCTGAATCCACGCTTAAACAGGATTTAATGAAATTTCAATAATGATTACTGATGTGGAGAATTTTGAGCACTTGTGTGTTTTAATTCGATTTGTAATGATGCATAATAAATCACTTTCGCCTACAAAATAAATAGTTCCATCTAGGTCACATATGGATATCGCGTTCTCAATTATACACTCTTGAGAATGTCAAATATCTATGAGACCTATAACAAATCGTTCGTTGAAAAAATTCACTCGAACTGGATCATTCATAATTATAAGTACTGCTCCTAATAATTTGGCCACCGACTTGTATATTAAAGCTCATGACAACAGCACAACTATTGTCTTTCAAAATACCAAATACCCAAAATTCGGGGGGAAATCTTCTTACAATCTGATAACGCTATAATCAAACTGTCAAACACCTTGTAATACGCTTGATTGTGTCATCATCGATCTTTGTAAATCTTTACTGGGTGGTCAGAACAATCACAAAACTGTCAGCTCTAATCTGTAACTAGGGGTAACTAGTTTTCATCATGGTCGTATAGATTGGATATCATATTGGCCACATCCAACAGTCTTTGTATTTTCTTTTCTTTGTATTTGTATTTTCTGCTTAGAATAAGGACAGTTTATGGCGACAGCAACGTGCCTGTTTAAAAGTTAGACATTATCAGTTTGAAAGTTTGGTCTGATGATGGTTTTCATGGTTTTCATTAAGAAGGTACGGCGTCGCGACCCTGTCTTCTTTGAGCTGCTTTTACCACTTCCTCATCGTCCGATCGTAGTACTAGTACTTCCACTTTTCTGGCGAAAGGGTGAGCTTCTGATGTTAGCGGGTTACCGGAACCCATGAACCCGCTACCTGCCTTGAAATCAAAGGTTCTATAACAGCTGTCCCATCGTATAAACCGAAAAACAAGGCTGCTTCGCGGCCGAAATAATCAGGGTAGTGATACCTATCCGTGCAGGGTTTTTTTTTGTACAGGCGAAAATCATCGGATCCCGCTCACAGCCTGCGCCCGAATCCCTAATCGGGCTGGAGCCCAATCGTGGCCATTGAGACGGCGGGACAGGGTTGACGCAGAGCATATTACATCCATCCCGCCGTCCCCCAGACGCCGGACGGGCGGCCGCCGGCGACACGACCACCGGTTCCCTCAGTCGGCAGGCTGGTAGTTCACCCTGATGGCGCCGCACTGCACCTTCCCCCGGAGAAAATCCGTCCGGGGTGGTGGTAAATTAATCGCGTTGTAAGTAGTAAGATATGAGATTGTCCTAATCTTGACTGAGATCGCACAGTCATGTATCACCAAGCGGCGACAATATCTTTTTGATATTTGAAGATTTCGGTTAATACTTCTGCTATATTATTATTCATTTAACACGCAAAAAGGTACATTTGTAATGGAAAACTTTTTCTTTAGTCCTTTCTTAGAATCACGAAGCTTCTAACGCTTGTGGCGAATTCCTCGAAGGGAAACGCGTTTGATCAACTGAAAACTGCGTTGATGTGATGTAATAAAATTCATTGGAATTGTTTTTTTGTTTATCTATATTATTAGAGTAAATTCAAAACGTATTATCGACGGAATTCAAACAATCCATTTCAATTCAATTTTGAATGTCTTCTTTAATTTGCACAGCGCATTGTCGATATGGTCGTATATTTTCAAAGATGAAGTACGATTTCAACGAATCAAGCTGATTACGAATAAGAAAAAGAAATAACAAAATAACAAGAAATAATCGGATTGTTTTTTTTTTTCGAGGATTGACTCAATACTATTTCCGAGCATAAATAAATAATGTTACTATTAAAATAACAAATGCAACTATTAGATTAAGGCTAAGTTGTTAGAACTATTAGAACAGGACTCGAACGAGATATGCTTCTAACTCTTTTGTCGGTAGATTTTGTAGGGTATATGATACTAAGTTCTCCAATCCTGAGATATTTTGTTTATTATTCGTAGCTTATAGAAATGCTATTTTGGTATATTTTTAAGGTGATTTTTAAGGGGAGTTAGGTCGGATGTGTATATTATTAAGTTTTAAAATATATATACGCAAGAAATCGAGGTGTATGTACATACATATGTGCGTGTACTGTATTGCTTTTATTTATAAACTTAAGTTTATAAATTCCTTTTTTTTCTTTGTTCAAATCAAATCAAATTAATTATATATAATTGATATCATTAATATATTATAATAATATGTTTGTTTTGTACTGTTGATTTTCCAAATAAACAATCAAATATTTATCATTCATTAAAACTATGAGAAAGACACTCGCTGTTTCTTACAAATATAAATAGCAATGAAAAAGTATATTGACTTCTTAGCTGTCTTGGAAACTGCTATTCAACTACACTCAATCATGTTATAGTGCCTGTATTAGAAAGAAATGCATTACACGTACTTCACGTCTTCTGAATCTAATTAGCTACCTAATGAGTTCAACATTTTTCCTATTTTTTCCGGGCCACAAGTTCATAGGTAACGTGTATTCGAATAAAAACATCTGCTTTCTTCCTCTCCCACTCCGCCTTAAAACCACTGTATATCAATTGCCATCCGCGCCCAACCTCTTTTTATCCTGACTGAATCCCTACGCGGTAAAATAACCGTCGGCATACTATTTAGCTGTCCTTTTTGTGTGGATTCCGTTAGACAAGGACTGAAGATGTTTTCGCTTTTTTGATTCAACATTTTTTATAAGATGTTCAAATAATAATTTTAAAATATCGAAACGAAACAAAGGCTACCTAACGAAGTCGGTATTTCAAATAAAACATTCCAAAGCGTTGATGAAGTGAAAAAAGAGATTTTTATATTTAGCATGACAATATCCAAAAAAAAAAAAAGGCTTCAGGAGATTTTTTGTACTTTAAATTCCTAAATGTTTCCAAGAAATCGGGCTTTGAAGGGCTTTTATTCAATGACGAGAAGGCTTGAGATTTTCTTCAAATTAATTTAGCGTTGCGAGAGTTAAATTAAAAAGTGATAAACTCGTACATTTTAAGTAAATTTTTATATTAAATTTGTTATTTAATTCCTGTGAAAAGTAACACTGGCCCTAGCAAGAGCAGTGCTTCGCAGAATCTACCACCGGATCGGAAACGCGACCCACTGAGAAGATCCGGCAAGAAACTTAGTGGGCTGTGTCTATGGGTTAATTCACTCGTCGAGCCCTTCGCCGCAAGCGACGGGTTCGACGAGGACGGTGACCGGTGTTTGCGGTACCTAAAAGCACNTTATTTAATTCCTGTGAAAAGTAACACTGGCCCTAGCAAGAGCAGTGCTTCGCAGAATCTACCACCGGATCGGAAACGCGACCCACTGAGAAGATCCGGCAAGAAACTTAGTGGGCTGTGTCTATGGGTTAATTCACTCGTCGAGCCCTTCGCCGCAAGCGACGGGTTCGACGAGGACGGTGACCGGTGTTTGCGGTACCTAAAAGCACCGTTCATAGATCGGGAGGATCCGTAATGACGTGGTAAATCCGTAGAATGCGTAGTAAATAAATTGTGTTGGTAATGGAAAAGTAGGATAAAAAAAGTCAAAAGATATTTCTCCGGTGCATATTCATCGCACGTAATGGAATGTGTAACAAATCTCTGCAGCAACAACGCTGCTGAAAGTCCGCAAACTGTTTTTGCTCTCAATTGCGAGTTGATGCAACATGAATGGTATGGACGGTCGCGCTGTAACTTCTTGCATTGATTGCATTGTATGAATAATAATGGAGCCACTTCGTTTATCCACGGTGCGTTTTGCAGAGATCTTTTCTACCACGTACCATCCGGCTGTGGAATGAGCTCCCCTCCACGGTGTTTCCCGAGCGCAATGACGTGTCCTTCTTCGAATGAGGCTTGTTGAGAGTATTAAACGGTAGGCAGCGGCTTGGCTCTGCCCCGGCATTGCTGACGTCCTTGAGCGACGATAACCACTCACCATCAGGTGGGCCGCATGCTCGTCTGCCTACACGGGCAATATTTTTTTTGTGTGAACTTGTATATTTTAAAAACATAATTTTTTGTCCAGATCTCTGCATCGGGCCCACAATGAGTGGTCACGGACGTGGTGGATAATATTGTCTATGGCTATTCCGACATAAAAGTTAATCAATTAGTTAATTAAGTATAGCAAATCAGAGTTTTTGCCCGTATGTGTGTGCAGGGTCATTTCTATAATGGCAGAACAAATTTGTTTGTGGCTTTCAATGATGTGTTCATAGTCTAATTTGTAAAGTTTGTTTCGCTTAAATTATTTGATGTACTTTACTGGTGGCAGGGTATTTTATGTGCGTGGGCGTGCTTGTGTGGGTGTATGTTCTGCGTTTGTGTTTGTACTGGGAGTCTGGTGATGATGATATATATATATATATATATACATGTTATTGCTTAGATGGGTGGATGAGCTCACAGCCCACCTGATATTAAGTGGTTACCTGAGCCCATAGACATCCAAAACGTAAATGCGCCACCCACCTTGAGATATAAGTTCTAAGGTCTCAGTATAGTTACAACGGCTGCCCCACACTTCAAACCGAAACGCATTACTGCTTCACAGCTGAAATAGGCGGGGTGGTGGTACCTACCCGTGTGGTCTCACAAGAGGTCCTACCACCTGTAATTACGCAAATTATAATTTTGCGGGTTTCATTTTTATCACACGATGTTATTCCTTCACCGTGGAAGTCAATCGTGAACATTTGTTGAGTACGTATTTTATTGGAAAAATTGGTACCCGCCTGCGAGATTCGAACACCGGTGCATCGCTCAGCACGAATGCACCGGACGTCTTATCCGTTAGGCCACGACGACTTCAAAATTTAGGACTTTGGCAACAACTAGCCGAGGAGGTTGTTTAACGTCCGGTGATCCGTAACT